GCGGGCGCGGGCAAATAAAATCTAATACAACTGCATTGGGCTACTGTGCAATAAATCTCAGTTTTTGACGAGTGGTTGACAAATTGCCCAGCAGTGCAGTGCAGCAATGCGGAAATTGGTGTAATTTAGGTAATTTTAATTTTTTATAGGCACCTTCTATTAATCATTTATATTACAATTGCGAAAGAAAGAAATAATATTACAAGGCATTTTGGAGACCTTTTGAAACGGAACAAAACGAAATTTACCATTAATATAATAAAATTGTTTTAGGACATAAATAATTAAAATATGTTGTTGGTCAAATGAACATATAATACAAATTTTCTACACATTATATACAAATTTTTATAATTTTTTACCTTTAGTAGAAAAGGTCCAGAGGTCCTCAATAAGTTTTAACAATTTTGATTATTATTAACTTTAAGCACCGTTTTGCAGTTTTAATGGTTTTGTTTACTGAAAATGATTAATGCAATTAATTCTACTTATTATTAAAAAATTCTCTACAACAGTGTAAATACCCTGTATAACTTCATTTACAGAGAATGTTAGAAAAATTCAGCATTAATTTTAATTACTCTTAATATATTTTCAGTACTTGCTCCTAAAAATGAATATTTTGAGAACAACAAAGATAATCCACTTTTTTCGAATTAGACCGCAAAATAATCACAGAAAGACATTCATTTATTAATAAATTTGTAGTTACTTTCTAAGAAAGACTGATTTATTGTCAAAATCTGTTATCCCCAAAATATTACCTAATAATTTGCTTTTTTTTTTAATGCAATATTATTTTCGATGCAATTACAATTGTTATAAAAAAAATGGCAGGTTATATTCCCTTTATATAAAATTTACGAAATTTTATTTAAAATGAAACATTTCTGTTTTCGTCAAACAATTTTATGATATTTTAATAAAAGTTAATGTTATTTACTCATGTATGTAAATAACTAATATATTATATTTAAATTATAATAAATTTCATACGATTTTGAATAGCTAAAAATTAAACAATATGAATATATCGATCTACAAGTAATGCAATACGAGCATTGAATAAAATTCGTATTTAAAAATAAAATTATAAAATGTTGACTATGCAATTATGAAAGAGATATGTATGTTCTTTTTTGGTTTTAGGATACTTTGAATGTAGGTACATATTAAATATTAAATATTAAATATTACATATAATTTTTTTTTGATTTCAAGAATCTGTATTTCGAAACTGAAAACATTGCCTTTACCATTGACTGTGCACTTCGGTTTATGTTTTTCTGAATCGAATAACTTTTTTAAACAGGATCATCCAAATATTTATCGCATTGTTTTAACCCTTAAAAACCACCTCCAATGACAACATATAAAAAAATGGCTTTTAAATTACTTAAAATGAATTATAATGCCTTCCTATAATGTTTATCAGATCACTGGGTTTCTTAAAAATAATCCTTTATTATACAAATAAAAACATTTTTATACATTTAAAGTTGACAAGTAGAATTATTAAAAGATTACAGGGAAAAAGTGAAAGTATGTACCTATACAGGGTGTTTCATAATTGGATGTCTATATTGAAGGGTGTTAATCTGTGTGTGATTTTAATACAAACAGTTCATATAAACATAGGTCCGTTTTCGCTTTATTTTTGATATACAGGGTGATGAATATCTGTTTGTAAAATTGTTTTTTTTTTAAAAACTCCGAAACTAAATTAGATAGTTTTATAAAACTTAGTATGTGTAAACTAGGTGCAGAGACACGTCTTTTGCATAATAAACGAATTTTCATTTTTAACCAGTGGCGTCCCAATTAACTTCAACCTCATTATTTTGAATGAAAAAAATGATACGCCACTGCATTTTTGAAAAACAAAAATTATTGTATAAATGGTGCTTTATTTTGTAATAAAAAAGATCTCTTGAGTTTTTTTCTTATCTTGCACTGTTTTTTAGTAAAAAAATAAAGAACAACATACTAACCCACATTGAGCCAAACAGAAAGCATGATATAAAGATTACCTAGTAGGCTGTGGTTGTTGATTACTGTTGTGATTTATTAATTTTGACAGTTCAGTTCATTCAACTCAATTTTGATACTTAAAATACCTGTACAGTGTTATTTGATAATGGTTGAGTTTACTAATCAAGAGTTGGCAGACATTCATTACATGTATGGCTTGGCTGATGGCAGAGCGCCAGAGGCTAAACGATTATATCAAGAGCGTTTCCCGAATAGAGTCACACCAGATAGACGAACATTCTCAAACATACATAGAACGTTGGCTGAAACAGGTACTTTTAAGCCAAATAATCAATTAAAAGGTGCCCATCGGACTACTAGAACTCCAGAAGTTGAAGAAGCAGTTTTAAATTCAATTGATGAAAATCCTAATATTAGCACTAGACAAATTGGAAATAACTTGAATATCTCGCACATTCTAGTTTGGAGAATTCTTCACGATTTTCTGTTATACCCGTATCATATTCAACGGGTCCAAGCCTTACTTCCTCGAGATTTTCCTTTGCGAATCAACTTTTGTCAATGGTTTTTGGAGAAAATTGCGCAAAATCCCTTGTTTGACTGTGAAATAATGTTTACAGACGAAGCTAACTTCTCTAGAAACGCTATAAGAAATTTCCATAACAATCATGTTTGGGCCGAAGAAAACCCGCATGCAATTGTGAACTTTAACAATCAAGAACAATTTTCCGTGAATGTTTGGGTTGGAATTGTTGAAAATCACTTAATTGGACCTTTTTTTCTGCCACAAAGGCTAGACGGCCGTACATATCGTCGGTTTCTAGAGGAGGATTTGCCCGTATTACTTGAAGAAGTGCCACTTTTAACTAGAAATAGAATGTGGTTCATGCATGATGGTGCACCAGCTCATTTCCATCGAGAAGCAAGAGAATATTTAAATCGCACATTTCATGACCGATGGGTAGGCCGTGGTGGACCCCAACAATGGCCCCCCAGGTCCCCAGATTTGAATAGTGCGGACTTCTTCTTATGGGGGCATCTGAAAACTCTGGTTTACAACACTCCGGTTAACACTGTAGAAGACCTGAGGAATCGCATAAGAGCTTCCTGTGATGTAATAAGGAACACTGACAACATTTTTCAAAGAGTCCGCACTAATATGAGAAGAAGAGCTGAAGCATGTATCCTTGCAGGTGGAGGGCATTTTCAACAACTGATGTAATTGTTTGTTTTTTTCGTTTCACAAAATTGTTATTTGTTGATCGTCAATCGTAATTATTAATAATATTATACAATAATGTGTATAAGTTATCTAGTAAAAGAATTATTTCCATAAAATGTGTAAAAAGTACTTCATTCCACGTACAGATAATTATTGTTGTTCTTTATTTTTTTACTAAAAAACAGTGCAAGATAAGAAAAAAACTCAAGAGATCTTTTTTATTACAAAATAAAGCACCATTTATACAATAATTTTTGTTTTTCAAAAATGCAGTGGCGTATCATTTTTTTCATTCAAAATAATGAGGTTGAAGTTAATTGGGACGCCACTGGTTAAAAATGAAAATTCGTTTATTATGCAAAAGACGTGTCTATGCACCTAGTTTACACATACTAAGCTTTATAAAACTATCTAATTTAGTTTCGGAGTTATTAAAAAAAAAAACAATTTTACAAACAGATATTCATCACCCTGTATATCAAAAATAAAACGAAAACGGACCTATGTTTATATGAACTTTTTGTCTTAAAATCACGCACAGATTAACACCCTTCAATATTGACATCCAATTATGAAACACTCTGTATAGAATGCTCCAAAGTTGTGGATAACCAAAATATTGATACGCTCCGAAAATTGAAGCGGTAAGGTACCGTTGTTTTTTTAACGACACCTTCCTTATTTTTAAAGCTACGATCGAAAAACAATTTTACGGAAAATTTCGACAGCAAAATACAGTAAAATTGAATATTTTTGATCGCGTTATTTTTGAGATTTTTAAAAAACATGACCTTCGCCCTCAACTGTAAACTTCCAGCAGCATCTTGTTAATTTTTATCCTACACAAATAAAAAAAAAACAAAATATTCTGTGAAAAAAAAAAATCTAAACTTTTGTATTCTTGAATATTTTTCGTAGATATATATATTTTTTAAAGTTATTTTCAAAAATATGTTATTTTTGTTGGAATTAAAAAAAATTTTTTTAAAAAGGTAATATTTTCAAAAATATGCACTCTAACCGCTTAAACTTGTATAGTATATTGTTAGCACATAAAAAATGTAAATTGTAGAAGGATTACATTTAATTTTAAACCTCGTGAAAAATTTATCAATTTTTGTATTGCTTTTTTTCCCGAAAAAGTTTTTAGTTATTTTACGTTAAATGTTTCCAATTTAGTTTCTGGCGGACATGAAATTATCTTCAACCAGTCGTATCTCAGCACCTATTGCACCTACATAAATGAAAATAAAATTCAGTCTTTTTTTTCTATAAGCTTAATTTTCTTCGTGATGTTTTCTTTTCGTAGAATGTCTATTTTCCGAGTTATTCGAGAAAAACTACTCTTTTTTTTAATAAAAATGTACATTTTCAATCACCAATAACTCAGAAAATATTGACTTCTCGAAAAATGTTCATATGATACGTTTTGCTTAAAATTGATTGCTTTATCGATTCATTTTCAATATTTTATTTTTCGAAGGGGAGGCTTCCATCCCATGGCAAAAGCGCTCATCGGCACTATATAACTTTTGTTTCTTGAGCTATTTTCTACTTAGAGTCCATGTTTCACGTCAATCGGTTCTATCCGAAAAAATTCGGAGGAGAAACCCTTGGTTCCCAGTACTAAAAATTGATATCAGTTGTTTTCGGTCTCTTATACTTAAATAGTAACTACTCCTCATTTAACAGTAAAAATACATTCCCCTATATCCTCCCCGACCACCAACCGGATCATTTATCCGCAGTATCGGACGCCAACGTAAATTCAATAAATAATCAGTACCTGTAGTCGAGTTGATGGCGAAGAATCCCTCGGGATTCCCGGATGTAATCTTGTATGTTATTTCTTGGCTAGGGTCCTTGTCCCTGTCCGTTGCTCTTATTTGGAGGACCTCGCTGCCGGCAGGGCTCTCCTCCAACACGCTGGGGTAGTAAACTGCCTCCTCGCTCATCGGCACGTTGTCGTTCTCGTTAAGGACCTCGATGTAGACCTGCAACGAAAAATAGTGGAGATAAATTAAAATGGAAAAAATAAAAATGTAGAAACGTATTGGCAAAGTGAAATTTTGTGTAGTCTTAAGAATGTTGACGTTGCATATACAGAGTTACAACTTTTTAATTGTCTAATACAGATACCTTTGTTATTTTAAGAGATTCAGAAATGGTTAAATGAGCAAAACTATGCAGAATTCCATGCCGATCACGGATTCGTTTTCAAATTTAAATATCTTCGATATTATTCGAAATTTTCTAAATTTAAAAACAGATCCGCGACCTGCACAAAATTCTGCACATTTTTGCCCTTTCAACCATTTCTGTATCTCTTAAAATAAGAAAGATACATGCATTGGACAATTAAAAAGTTGTAATACTGTATTTCTGTAACTTACAAAGTAAAATTGAACTAGGCCTATAATTTTACATTTTTGTAAATAAGATGTAAATTTACATGAAAGTATGTAATCCTGAATAAATGGTGCAGTTAAATCTATTCAATGCAAAGTAAAATAAAAAAAAATGGTAGAACCAGAACGGCTTATACAGGGTGTTTCAGAAATACCTCCCGTAAATTCAGGGGGTGATAGTACAACAAAAAATAAGAATTTTTTGTATTATGAACTATATGTCTATCTCCTTTTGTTTTCGAGATACAGAGCGGCAAAATAATTTTTTTTTAATAGAATTTTTACGAAAATTTCCAGATGGTGCGAAATATTTATATGAAATTTGGTATTCCGAGGTTTTTAAGACGCCAAATACGCTGGTCTAATTATTTTTTGGATATCTCATAGAGGGCGCTAGTTAAGCTACATTCCTATTACATTTTAGGTTCTAATTTTGTTAAGGTTAGGTTTTTTGGCTCCAATTTCTAATGTACAATATTACTTTCTAAAAATATTTTACTCTTGTTAGAACTTTTTAGTGTGGACGGTTTTCGAGAAAAAAGGCTTTTAATTGAACTCTTATAATATTACGGTGAAGAAAATAAGTGACTTTTCTAAAAGTAGGGTTATGTCAAAACTTATTGATGGATGTCTCATAAACAACGCATATTCTCAGTAATATTTGAAACTCTAATTAACTTTATATCAAAATTTTAGTGATTGTTAGTGACTGTAGTGTGTAATGACAAATTAGTCACTAAAATTTTGATATAAAGTTAATTAGAGTTTAAAATATTACTGAGAATATATGCGTTGTTTATGAGACATCCATCAATAAGTTTTGACATAAGCCTACTTTGAGAAAAGTCACTTATTTTCTTCACCGTAATATTGTAAGAGTTCAATTAAGAGCCTGTTTTCTCGAAAACCGTACACATTAGGAAGTTCTAACAAGAGTACATAATTTTTAGAAAATAAAATTGTACATTAGAAATTGGAGCCCGAATGGTAAAAAAACTAACGTTAAAAAAATTAGAACCTGAAATGTAATAGGAATGTAGCGAAACTAGCACCCTCTATGAAATATCCAAAAAATAATTAGACCAAAGTATTTGGCGTCCTTAGAAACCCCAGAATAGCAAATTTTATGAAAATATTTCGCACCGTCTGGAAATTTTCGTAAAAATTCTATTTAAAAATTTTTATTTTGTCGCTCTGTATCTCAAAAACAAGAGGAGATAGATATATAGTTCATAAGACAAAAAATTCTTATTTTTTGTCGTACTATCACCCCCTGAATTTACGGGAGGTCTTGAAACACCCTGTATACAGTGAGCGGCTAAATAGGTATGGAACAAATTAAATAAAACAATAATTTCTTTTTATAAAAACGTCGAGAGATTTTTTTAATGGGACACCTTGTAGGTAGGTATATTTCTACAGGTTTGGATAGAACGTTGTCTCACGAATACAGTAATGTAGATATTGATGGATCTATCTTTAATAATAACGGGGATATAACCAAGAGTGCCCAATAAACAAAAAGCAAGGAAAAAAGTTTAATACATTAAGAACAAACGAATAACAGTTGTAAATTATATTAAATAGTATTCAACAAACAAAATTAAAAAACCAAATGTTGGAAATGCCATCAATCAGCCTCTTGGCAATAAGCAAACCTATGAACACATTCTTCTTGTACATTACGAATGACCTCTGGACTAATTCTACTCATTTCTTCACTTATTCGATTCCTTAATTCCTCTAAATTCTGCGGTCTGGTTACGTAGACTTTTGATTGCAACCCCCACAAGAAAGAATCGAGGGATGTAAAATTTCGACTTCGAGGTGGCCACTCTATGAATCCTCGTCTACCAATCCATCTCCCAGGAAAACAGATGTCTAAATACTCGCGAACAGGACGTACAAAGTGCGGAGGTGCGCCGTCTTGTTGAAACCAGATATTATCATTCAGTGCTTCTGTGAGGATAGGCATTTTATTTCTTCCAAATATCGTTGCCCTGTCACAATTTTCTCGAAGTCCAATGATTGATGATGATGTCTTCAACCATCCCAGCCCACACGTTTACAGTCTGAGGATGTTGGTATGTGCCTCAAACATTCACTGAGGATTTTCTCTACTCCAATATCAGTAATTTTGTAGATTCATCTGAAAAAAGTACGTGTAATACCGAACGTTGAGCAATTCCATTATCTGCTGCAATCTCTCGAAAGGTGCAGTGAGAATTTTTTTTCACGCTTAACAAAACAAGTTTTAAATTTTCGTTAATCTTAAGGCGCTCAGCATTTGTTCTGTGTTTAACATGTCCAGTTTCTCTAAATTTCTTCTGTAGATTGGCTGATAACGTCTGCCTGGATACTTTGCGTTAAGGGCGCCATATTCTTTAAATAGTGTTTTCCACAAAGACCAATAATTTCAAACATTTAATAAATGAATAATCTAAAGCTTATCAAATAATAGGAATGTTATGTCATACCACCTGAGTATTTTCAAGGACGCCGCAGTAAAACGAATAAACAGGTGCAAAAAACGATAAAACCATCAAGGTGTTAGGTACTGAAGTCTACGAAAATACTAACTTTTTTTATATATAACTCCACATATAAATAATCTCATAACATTTACTTGCTAAGTCCTAGGTATAAAATTGTTTACTTTTATTTATAAGTACGTGAAAATAATTCTTAAAATGTGGGATTAGAATAACAGCAAACGCATGTTTTACAAACGCTTTTTTAAAGTTATTATTTTATTTGAGTAAATTTAAATACTAACAATGAATAAACAGAACATCAAGGATCTTATTTTTGGGCTTACTTTTGTTCTACACGTTTTCCTTTTCAAGATTTCAGTAAAAACGCCAGAAATTTGACTGACCTTAAACAAATACTGACAGTCTGATTGACATCTCTACAAAAATAGTAGAAAATCTACGTTTCTCCTTGCCTTCTGTTTATTAAGCACTTTTGGTTATATCTCCGTTATTATTAAAGGTGGACTCAACAATATCTACATTACTGTATTCGTGAGACAAAGTTCTATAGAAATATACAGGGTGTTCCATTTAAAAAAAATATTTTTTTTCGTGCAGTTTTTTAGAATCGCCCTGTAGAAAATCGTATGCATGCAAAAACGGCAAAAAACAAAATACAATCGATCTGTCTCGGCTTTTTATATAAAAAAATTATTACAGTCTTATTTAATTTCTTCCATAATTTAGCCACTCACTGTATAGTAAAAATACATTAAATATGTAATTTTACTCTCTTAAAAAAATTCATTTAAAACATGTTAACCTGTTGGTTGAGCCAACTTACTCGGTATACGTTTTTTGAACTCGTTCAAACTTGTATTAATTTTCTACTCAGGTACATCCCAGCTAATAAATTTATTAAACAAATGCGAGGAGAGTAAAAACTTTCCGCCATTTCCAGAGAACCATCAAGTACGAACATGACACTACAAGGCAGTTTGTTTGGTCTTTATGTTACTTTTCAAACTTCTATTAGGCCAAGGAATTGCGCTCGCTGTTTAAACGGGAAAACAGAAAGGAGGCCTTGCCCGTCTACTCCATTACTTCTGCAGTTATAGAGAATCTATAGCCTGGAAGTTTCCTCCTGAATATTATTAAGATTTCTCCTGGAGTGCCCTTGACTGTTCTGGCGTCTTTCTCGATTTTTCATTAAAATTTCCCTTGCCATACTTTTTAATATAACAGCGCTAACAACCAGTTGTAATAAAGCTTATTAGATCGATGAAGGTTAAGGAAAATTAACGTTTAATTTTTAAAAAGGAAATAGCAAGCTGTAGATCTTAAGAGGAGCAGTTCTATAGTAGAGGAAATAAGGAAATAATTCAGTATTACGTACGTCGATTTTATACAAAAAATTTAAATGAATACGATATATTGTATATGATTGTGTATATTTTCGTTTTGAGATTCTTACTTTTTACTTTGTACTTTTACATTTTAAAATGTATTATTCCTAATCCTTTATGTGTTTTTACTGTATCTGACATAAATATACGAATAAATGTGCGAAGTTATATGACCTGCTTTGGCTCGACCAATGAGATTAATCATGTGATTACCCGGTGTGGTTTTACCGAGCGCGTGTAGAGAACTGTGCTACTTATTCAGTAGGCATGTTTAGATTCATTTGTGGAGTAATACACATATATACAGACATCCATATTACTACTTACTTACTTAGAACCATTTTGCTTATTGTTTTATTTACATATATTTTGTTTTCAGTTTAACACACTCAAGAAGTGAAGAAGTGTCCACTGCTCTCGAAATTGTTCAAGAATTCCACTTCAAAATGCATCTGGATGCAAGAACTATGGCAACATTTTCAGAAAAAGTCTTCGTATAAATGAAAACCGCAGTAAAACTTTTCCCAGAAAATACAAGAATAATGTTTTTCCTTATACCTAATTATTTTAAATTAAAAGTCAATTTTATGAAACAAATGTATCTCATTTGTCGTAGATATAAGTACATACCTACTGTTTATTTAGACAGTCCTCACAGTTAAAGTGAAGATTCATTCAAGCTTCATACGGTTTCCGAGAGTA